GGTATTCCTCGTCTCGCTCAACGATAGCCGCAATATCCCGAGTCAGATAGAGGGGCGTACCGTCCTTTCGGATCACAATCGCTTTGCCCAATTTCTTCGCGCCATGCTTCGCAAAGTCGACAATAACTGCACCTTCAGAGTTCTCGGAAACTCCCGTCTTTTCCATGGCTTCGTAGGCCTTCGCTAGGCTTTCTGACTTGACTTGTGATTCACCGGAGTAGCAATCGAACCCTATATTTAGGCGCGCATAGGTTTCCTTGTACTTTTCAATACTTAAGTCACGGAATCGTCGCCAGAGTGCAAGCGCCTTTTCATCACCGTCCTCCATGCTCTTGAAGTATCGACGGGCCATTTCATCATAACTAGCATCAATTTTGGCCTGCAGCTCTTTTTCTAGCTCCGTGATGTCCTTGTCCTTTTCTTTCCTGGCCTTAATCTGCTCTCGAAGTTCCTTAATAGGACCTTCCTGCTCCGCCACGTCTTTGTTGATCTTAACATAGACGTCGAACAGGTGGTTAATAGGATCCTTCACGAGCTCTTCCTCGTTTCCGTACTTCTCATATCCATTTGCTAGGAGACCATATTGTTTCCCCCAGTCACCAAGGTAGTTCATCTTGACCACATCCCATCCCATAATCGTGTACAAGTTAGCCAAGAACCCTCCGATGATCGTACTTCGCAGATGGCCCGCGTGGAACGGTTTCGCGATATTGGGAGATGAGAACTCGACAATGATTTTCTTCTTGCCCTTTGAAGGGTCAGTAGGGTCTCGAAGGCCAACGTTCGCATTAGAGCCATATGTCGCCCTGTTCTCTTGAATGGCTTTGATAACGGTCTTTGTGAGGGGCTCCGGCTTGAAGAAGAACTGAATATGCGTGCCCACGGCAATGGGCGTGTTGATGAGGTCGGATGGGGCAAGATTTTCGAGGATCTGCGCAACGACTTCTGGTGGCTTCTTGCCTTTGATTTGTAGAGCTGGGGCCTATTAGGTGAATATTTTTATTCACAATTAGCATTGTAGACCCCAAAAGAAATACAGCGAATGTTCTAAATATCATATGCAAGAACATACAGCAAGAACCAAGTCACCCTTGTCGAGAGAATTCGTCCATTGTAGCCTGGGGTAAACGGCCTGGGAATCTACTCCTAGCGCCTCTGCCACGAGCTCTGCGATATGCGCACGGTATCTATCGACGGGGTTGACGGAGGGGTAACAATTAGGGTATTGCGAGACTTCATTCGTGGTGGAATGAATGGAAAGCTCCGCCACAGAGGGCACGGAATCCGTCGCCATGGCTGCACGGTAGTATCGGTGGTGTTTGCTTGGCGAAGGAGTTGTGGTGCGGGGTGTGCAGAAGAAGGAGAAGGGACAGCGTTTGAGGAATTGGGGTTGCTGCAATTGGAGCGACAATCGGTTTGGCTTCAGCACCAGGTTCAATTGTTGCTGAGATATACACTTTGGAATAAACAATGCGCTGCTGTAAATGTGTTGACGCATATATGCCGTGCTCTCTTCGTGTGTATATGTGGAGGGGAATTTTTCTGAACGCAAAGAGTTGGTTTTTCTCCCTCTTTTTTTATGCAGCATATAACTAGCCATAGGAATTTCAAGGGATGATGGGAGCCAAGGCGGTGAGTAACTCAAGGCGGCAGAATGATCTACCACGAGATCTTATCAGATCAGATAAAAATTGAAGAGTTTGCAGACAATGTTCGAAATATTGAACTGGGGAAGCGAAGAGATATGATATAGGAGCCTTCATAAACTTGAGGTTGCTATTGGCAGCTAATTGGCATAGTATTTATGTGTGTCCCTCTTTGTCACTCTTGGGCCGCTGTGTTGCTGTGCTGCTCCCAGACCACGTAATAAACAGGTCTATCATTATAATCGATTCTACAGTAACTCTATCTTTTAACAAGAACCGACACGGTACGTCCAACTAGGAAGGTGGGAATTGTAAGAATAAACAATGCAATCTTTGGGAATCACAACAGAACCATAATTCCTTCAATCAGGGTATATCGAATATATTCCATCGTTTCCAACAATCACGAACCGGGCCCCTAGAAGCAAAAGACCTGGTCATCCAGCTTGCTCACAAGCCCGGCCTTCTTGAATCCAAGGGACTCGGTGGCTTTCTTCATCGCACTGACCATAGGAGGGGGTCCGCAAATCAAAATTTTCGTATCGGGTGCGGGTGCGGGCAGTTTGGCCTGGACAGTTGCAAATTAGTTAGACTTGATAAAGCTGGGGAATGCGTTCAAAAGAATCAAAAACTAACCTTGATCATATCGGGAGTAACAAAGCCAACACCACCTTCCCAGCCCGCTGGAGGGTTGTTCAAGACGTAGTAGATGCGGAATCCATCGTCCTCCTTGGCAATCTGATCCAATTCTTCCCTAAGGAGGATGTCGTCCGGGTTAACGTTGGCAAAGATGAGATCAACCTGTGTAGTGTCATTGCCTCCATTCCGCTGTCGTCCTCGGATAATAGCCTTGATGATCTGAAGCATCGGGGTGATGCCCGTACCACCAGCGATCATACCAATCTTTTTAGCCATATTGGGAGTGTAAACCATGGCACCCTTGGGACCCCGAACCTTCATGGTCTGCCCGATGCGCAAGCCAGCAAGGTGCTTAGAGATGTTCCCCTGAGGATATGCCTTGACGAGAAGGTCGAAGTAGCCGGTTTCCTGATCCGAGGAAATGGGGGTATAGGATCGCATAATCTCCTTCGTCTGGCCTTCAATTGTCGCGGCGAGAGAAATGTGTTGGCCAATGGGTAAGCCGAGGATATCTGTGGGCCGCGGAAGGGCAAAACGATAGATGGCGACATTGTGAGAGACAATGGTTTTCTCTTTCAAAACGAAGTTTTGGAATTCGTTGGGGTTGAGAACTTTCCTTTGTCCTGTGCAGAAGAGAAAACGTAGGCGCTGTTAGATCTGCAATGGCTTCCCAACGGGCCCAACAAAAATTTGGAGATCGCAGGGCGGGAACAGGGGATATCTCACTGTTGCTAAACACCTGCCAGCCCGACAGTATCACCGCAAGAGCCGCCGCGTAAGGAAGCCATTCCTTCTTCACAATGGCAGTGCCGCAGATCAGAAGGGCGGAAGGGATATATATCCCATTGATGGCTTCGCTCGACATCCAGGGACTTGCCATCACGCAATAGCGAAACAAGTTAATATTTTGATTTAACAGATGAAGCAGGAGAGCAGGAAATTGAAAAGGATAATATCTCACTTCATGACTGCTGGGCGGTCTCAGGGGCCAGAGCGAAGGGACTAGGAAGGTGTTGTTGTAGGAGAACAAACGGGGTGAGGAAATTAAATATGGAGGAGTGGGCGCTTACTCGAGGGAAGAAAACCGAAGAAAGAAGAAACTATCCGCGAACCATCAATCAGCGGTGGTGGCGGACATGGCATTATTGGGGCTGTCTGTTGGGACGTGTAGTTACTATGTACCAAAGGCTATTATTTCCGCACGTACCGAATCAGCAGCTGCTCAGCATCCGGCAGACCCTGACCCTGACGTTTTCCTAACGGTATCCCCACCGTTGTCAACTTGCCATCTTCCCGCAGTTATTTATCCCTCTGGCATTCCCTGGCATTCCCCTGCATTCCCATGTCATCATCATTCACGACCAAAGAAGTGCTAAGTAATTGAGAGCTAGCTATTTTTGTTCGTTCATTATATATCCTCAAAGGCTATGTCCATCAAATTCCCCCAAAGGGGACGGGGGATCTGGGCTTAAACCATTGCTCTCTTACGGGATCTAATTTCCTACCCTTTCCCAAATACTCGGGGTCGTAGGGCTGATAAAAAACAACCCTGGACTAAAGCATCAGCCGCAATAACAAATCACTTCCTCTGGGGACCCTCCTCCGCCTTCAATCGCTAGATGCAAATAAACCCTGCTCGGCCTTTCAGACTTGCGGGTTCAAGTGGTTCCAACAGGTCCAACATCTCTTCATTCTCACGATATTCTCAACAGCTTTTGATTGTAAGGGCTATCAGAATTAGATAGTCATGCCCACGATGTATCCATGTCCAGCCACGAAAAAGACCAAGTCGTACATGAACATGGTCCCTTCCAACGCCAAACCCACAACAAATGGCACTGTCGTTTTGCCCCAGAGATATTTCTATTGTCTATCGCAGCTATTCAAAACAGTTCTGAGACGGCTCATTCTATTTTTAGACCATGACGTTACTTATATTTGTTGGCCTCCTTTCAGTCCCGAGACCTCCAGGGGCACTTCAAAGCTTTGGGAAAGATATAGGGAGTGCTCCATTCTTGCGAAGTGGGACCAGAATCCGCCGCAGGACAAACCAGTCACTCCCTGACTTCTTCAATCGCAGTGCTTAGACCAGAGTACCTAGCGGTGAAAAGGATTCAATTGCCGGTCGTTTTGAATAATCTTATCTCCCAAATTTTCTACAGAGCACACTCATGCCTTCCTGGATATTCCATATGCGGCGAGGGTTTTCCGAAAATCTCGTCACCACTTCACAACTGACAGAAACATGATGGTTAGCTACTCTGGAGCCTTTCTGCCGCAGAGAGATGAAGTGTCTTGGTCATGAAAAGTAGCAGGGAACTCCAACGGAGAAAATTGAAGACGTGGGACCATATTGAAGTGAATATTAGAGGGGGGCGTTTTTAGCAGCCAGACTCTACTGCACTGCAAAAGATTGCATCTAAAAGACATTTCCAACTAACGGAGCGGATTCTGTATATGGACTTGGTAGACAAAATAGAGAAACATGAGAAATAGCAATCGAGACAGATTGACAGGCACAAACAGACTGTCCACAGAAAGAAACAAACCCCTTTGGAAAATGGGCAAGAGATGATAAAAAACACCACCATTTCTGATGAATGTAGATTGATTGATGAGAGAAAGAGCAGTACACCTCTATACCCAGACAGGATCAGTTCTATCTTTTTTTAAAGAGATGTTGTTTGACTCTGAAGTTGCTGTGAGGGAACTGCTTTGATTAACAAATTAAGGTTGAGAGCCGCTGTCGAGGAATCCAGATATGCATCGTCCAGAGCTAACTTTAATTTCAACAGAGGGCACTAACCGCAATGGGGAAACGCGAACAATATTTAACTAATTAACAACTAATCGTGCCGCTGCGCAACCCACAGCTCATGTGAGTGCACCACATCAAAACAATAAAAACACCAAAATGATAAAATCTTGCAATTTCATCATCTTCATCATCTTCATCAATTAATAACTCATCACAATGTCAAATAAGGATAAAAATATTGAAGATCATATTCAAAAAACTATCACTTATCATTAAAAAAACTTAAATTTTAAAATATTATCTCTATTATAAGAATTTAAAATTTCTTATCAATATCTCTAAGTATATATCAATGAAAGAAATCTGAATACTGCAAAGATTCCAGTTAACAAGAGATTAAATAAGAGTCAGAAGAATATAATTAAACAATAAATCAAACCGCTTGATAAAAAGAATTATTCTCTCACAGTTGAACACATTAAAGATTTCATAAATTCAATGCTCAGATATTAGTATTTAGATTTTACTACCTTCTTTTTAAAAGTCAGCAAGATATAAACTTATAGATTTATTGAATGCTTATCTGAGTATAAGAGGATGAAACAAAAGTCAATGAATTCAAAAAGAGTGACAGTTGAAGATATTGAATATATCAATACATGATTTGAATATCTTCAGATTCTATTTGAGTAGTATCAATTTCACATCTGTGATACATACAACTTTAATGAGATTGAATTTCAAGAAGAACAAGAACATGAAGAATAAATTATAACTACTTTTAAAGAAGTTAATTCTATCATTTCTTCATCCTTTTCAATAGATTTAATTATAGTTATTAAATATGTATTTATGAATAATCATATCATTCTATCATTGATAATCTTAGCCTTCAAAACACACTTGAAGAATTGATATACACAGATAAATTTACTTAGCAATTATAAAATTGCTATATCAGATATTGAATTTACATATGATGAGATTAAATTTAAATAACTTAAGCATTTCAATACTGCTACAGAAAAGAGACAGAAAAGAAGTCATTGATTACTTTTAATGAATAATCATAAATCTCATATCACTGAGAAGTTCATACAATATGTAGATCTTCATAAGATAATTCTATATAAATTTTCATTACATATCACTTATTTACTATAATCTCTGAATAATCTATCATTTCAGCAATATAAGCATTATCATTCAAAAGGAGTCAATTATACTACATGTCATGATCTTGTTAAATATGAAAAACAGCAGTTTCTACAAAACCTTTTAACTATGTGAAAGTAAATCTTTAAATCTGATATAATAGCTGCAGAATGAGCTTAACATAATATATATTCATGAAAGTCTGACTGAGTTCTTAATGCTCTTAAGCAGTGAATCTCATTACCTTCTTTACTGCAAATTTATGAAAATAAGAATGATTTAAATCACATATCTATCTCTTCTTCTCAGCTATTCTTATCAAAGGCAATTCAAAAGCTGAAATATCATATTAATGCAGAAAACGTCATATAAAGTATTAGAGATACTCTTAAATTGAAATCACTCATCTTGACATGTCATTTGAACAACATATTCAAAGCAAGTCTAATCTATATAGAACTTAATGAGCAATAGATTACTAAATTAGAGAACTTTCTCAATATCAGTAAATACTGCAGAGCTAAAGCAATTCTATTGTCAAATTCAAGTAGAGAAAGTCCTCACTATTAAAGATGTCAGTAGAAAAATCAAGCAGTGTAAGAATAATGAAGCTGAAAAAGAGCAGAATAAGAAGTAATAAAGACTTGAAGTTGATTTCATGAAAATTAGCAATAACTCACTCACACCACTAACAGAAGAGGAATTAAATCAACTTAGAGATGACACACATACTGAGAATGATGTAGATAATCTTTTTATTAAAGATTAGCTACTGGTTGTTGATATAGAGTGCAATAATGAGGATGTGATTTAAGATTTTTATTGTTTTGATGTTTTTATCATTTTGGTGGGGCACACCCACATGAGGTGTGGGTTGCGCAGCGGCACGATTAGTTAGTTAACTATTCGACGTTGCTGATTAATCTCCAGAAGAGTGGTCTCACAACCATGACAGCCACTATTAATAGATATAGCAAATGTCTGCCAACGCCTCGAAGTCCTAGGTGCATCCCACACATGAACGCATCTCGAAAATATGGGAGATCCTCAACGGCTCGCTAATCAAGCGTCTCTCCCTTTCAATCTTACAGATGTGGATCGCAAAGTCCTTTTACAAACGGATGATGAATTCGTCTTCCACGACTGGGCCGACCTCAGGAACATCATAGGTCCGTAAACCGCCACTTACCACGTAGATATGTCCAAGCCTCGGAACGGACTCCATATCACTGACTCAGAACAGCCACAAATAACCTCGAGGTATTCAGACGGAAACCCAGTGACCTGTTGCGTTACATCGCCTGGACAAGCGATATCAAGGCGCAGTACGGGTCGATAACAAACTACATCTGCAAAGAGCGGCTGCACTGGCCACTTGATCCCTCCAAGGATCCAACCTCCCAGTGCCGGAATCCGATTCCTTTCGCTGACCCCAGTGACTTCAAGATCCTGCGGAATGACTGGCCCTACGGCTTTACCCCAGATATCACGCATCTAGTCGTATGGCTGAAAAACAGCATCCCCGTCAACGCAGAAAATGGCGATTTGACCTCTGAATCTCGTGCGCTCATTGACAGATTTATCAGACAGTCATTTGTTGCGAGGCTCGAGAAGCTCTTCCCCGATGCGGAAGATAGGGTTATGTGGTTCAAGAACTGGACGGCGCTTCAGAGCGTGAGGTCCGTGGAACATGTCCATGTTCTTGTCCGAGATGTCCCCGATGAGATTATTGTTGAGTGGACTGGAGAGAGCAGGAGGAGTTAAAATGGATGGCTCAAATTTTGGACGATGGACCTGGTGTCATCGCGTGGTGCGTGATAAAAGTCACGGTCTGGGGTGATTTGGGATAACTTGGCTGTTTAGACGTCTCGGTTAATATTTTCTCGGGATTTTTTTTTTTCGATTTTTATATGATTTGTTTGCCCTGAGAAAACTTAAGGATAGAGTCTCCGGCCGTAATAGATGAT